GGCTCCTTCCTCCCCTCCCCCCCCACACACACACATGCAGAAGACGTGGGGGGGGTGGGGGAGCAGCTGGGGAAGAGCCCTGAACTGGCTCTTGGAGGAGGGGTGGAGGGGGCCCCAGGATTGCTGTGGGCAGGCCCTTCGGGGGAAGGGGGCAGGGCTGAGATGCCGGGCTCTAACCCTGCCTCTTTCGGGCAGCGATTCCCATTCGGACTCCGACAGCTCCTTCTCCGGCACCGACTGCCGCCTGGCCAGCCGCAGGAGTGCGCCGAAAAACCGCGGCCGAGGGGGGCACATGGAGCGGGGCCGCATGAGGATGCAGAGGGGTAAAAGGTAACCCCGCCGCGTCCCGGTCTTGGGCGCGCCAGCCAGGAAGTGGTTAGGTGGGGGGCTCTCGGGGTCGGGACCAGCCTGGCTTAGCTTCAGGTCGGTCCGTGGCGTCGCTGTCCAAACCAGCAGAGTTTGAGCGCAGACGGGGAGCCAGGACTCCTGGGTTCTCCTGGGCTCTTGGTGGGGAATGGGCGCTAGTGGGTTGGAGCGAGGGCAAAGTGGGAGCCAGGACTCCTGGGTTCTCTACCCGGCTGTGGGGTGGGGTCTAGTGGTTGGGGGGTGGGGGCCAGGACTCCTGGGTTCTATCCCAGTTCCTCCCACAGACTTGCCATGTGATCCTGGGCAAATCTGCTGCCCCCTCCACTTGGCTGCTGAGCTGAGCCTCCCGGCCACGTCCCTTTCAGGCATGACCAGGGCCCCTCCAAGCGCAACCGCCGGCGGAACGCCATGGACTACGAGGACCCCGAGAAGGAGTTCAAGAAGCAGCGGCGGGCGGCCCGCTTCCAGCACGGCCACTCCAAGAAGCTGCGCCTGGAGCCCCTCATCCTGTCCATCAACAGCCTGGACCCTGCCGGCTCGGAGAGCCTGGACTGGAACGAGCTGAAGATTATGGGCACCTGTCAGGAGATCACCAAGCACTACCTACGGCTCACGTGCGCCCCAGACCCCTCCACCGTCCGGCCTGTCTCGGTGAGCGCCGGGCAGCCTCCGCTGGGGTTACTGGAGTGCCCCGGGGCAGGCCCCATCAGGCCAGGGGCCCCAGATGGGATTGGGGTGGGAGGAACATAATGCTGGGAGCCGAGGAGGTGTCCCAGCTGAGATCACAGCTCTGAGGGTATCCAGTGAACCGGCAAGGCGAGGAGCTAATGCTCTGTGCCACGTGAAAGCTGGCAGGCCCGGTACTCTGCTGGTGCCATCGGGCGCTAGTGGACAGAGCACCGGACTGGTGTCCAGGATGCCTGGGGGGGGGGGGGCAAGTCACTTCCCTGTTTCCTGCCTCAGTTTCCCCTCCCAGGCTTTGTCTGTGTCATACTCCAGTGGGGAACTCTGCCTAGGTAGCACCCCACATATGGAAGCTGGGTGAGGGTGGGCCCCGGATCTTGGCTGGGGGCTGATCTCGGGTTGGGGTCCGGGCAGCCCCTAGCATTATGGTCATCACCCCCAAAGGCGCACCCCCTCCAAAGCAGCGATCAGCCCGCAGGCCAGCCTGGCTTCGTGGCCTGCTGTCTCGTGAAGCACTGGGGCTGGGAGCTGAGGTCTGCTCCCCATGACAGCCGGGACACTAACACTGCCCTGTCTAGCGCGGGCGCTGCTGTCCCCTGGGTGTCGCCGCTCTCACTCGCGTCCCCTGCTCACCCAGGCGTTCTACGTCCCCAGGTGCTGAAGAAATCCCTGTCCATGGTGAAGTCGCACTGGAAGGAGAAGCAGGATTACGCCTTTGCTTGCGAGCAGATGAAATCCATCCGGCAGGACCTCACGGTGAGTTGCCCGCCCCTCCCCCGGGAGGGGTCCACGGGGAACTGAGCTGCAAAAATGGACCTTGGCAAAGGCCTTCCTCCGAGGGCCCCTCTGTACCGGGAAACCAGCCGCTTTGGATGCAGAGTCATGACTCCAGTCTAGGGTGTCCACACGGGGTCACACTGGATCATTCTCCTGCTATCCGTGTTGGTTAACGTCTCCATATAGACAAGCCCTAAATGACTAGACATGGTGCGACTTGGGACTCCTGGGTTCTCTCCCCAGCTCTGGGAGGAGAGTGGGGTCCAGTGGTTAGAGCAGAGAGGGCTGGCAGCCAGGACTCCTGGGTTCTCTTATCCAACCGTACTTCACTTGCTGTTTGACCTCATTCAAAATTGGTGGCAGCTACAAGCAACTTCCTGTCTTGCGTCGGGAGAGGAATTCTCCCTTCCTAGACAGGTGGCTTCATACGTTACTGTGTCACTAGATTCTGTGTGTACAACCTCTTCCTCCCGGCCCTCGGGATTCCCCCAGCGCTGACTGCTGGGCCGTGGGATTAACTTGTCCTCACTCTCCGGAGCGGCCCACCTCGCTGGCCTGCCCTGTTGGCACCGCTGCGGGAGCAGCTAGTCAGAGTTCTTAAGGTGGCCCCTCGGAGGCCCCCCGAGCTCTGCCACTCTTGGTACAGGAGAAGCGGCTCCATGGGACAGTCTGGTGGCAGGACGCTCATCACCGGGGGAGGGGGTTGTGTTCAAATCCGACCTGGATAACGCAGGCTGTAGAGCGTCCCATGGGGGGTCCCTGCTTGTGTCTGGAGTAACCCCTCTCTCCCGCTGCATGCAGGTTCAGGGCATCCGCGCGGAGTTCACGGTGGAGGTGTACGAAACCCATGCCCGGATAGCGCTGGAGAAGGTGAGGAGGGGTGGGCATCTGGGTTGTCGGCTGTACGTTCGCTCCGTCATTGGAGGGGCAGCTGTCGGGGGAGGCGGGCAGGGGGGGGATGTCTGTCAGCTGAGATAAAACTCGAGCGTTGGAGGCAATGTGGAATGGGCCGTGTGTAAGGGGTGCAAAAAAGGGCAAGTTGGCTTGAGCATCCAATTGGACTCCTGGGTTCTATCCCTGACTTTGGGAGGTGGTGGGGTCTAGTGGTTAGAGCAGGGGAGGCTGGGAGCCAGGACTCCTGGGTTCTCTCCCCAATCCCTCAGTAATGCGTTTTGGGTGAGTCAGGCCCCGCCCCGATAACAGGAATTCCCGTCTCTCCCCAGGGAGATCATGAGGAATTCAACCAGTGCCAGACCCAGCTCAAGTCTCTTTATGCGGAGAACCTGCCGGGCAACGTGGGGGAGTTCACCGCCTACCGCATCCTCTATTACATCTTCACCAAGAACTCCGGCGGTGAGCGAGCCGGGCAGGCCCTGGCCGGGGACGGGAGGGGAAGGCCCATGCAGTATAAATATGCAGAGCCTCCTTGGCTGCTGGCCCCACATTCCCTAACCACAGAGATCCTGCCCTAGAGGGTGTCATTTTCCCCTCCCCAAGCTCAGCCCTTGGCCACAGATCGGGGATGCACAGCCCTTGGGTGGGGTCCCCCCTTGGCTGCAGAGCTGTGCCTAGAGTGGTTGCCTACATAAGTGCCACTCTATCCGTCACCCTGCTCCAGTCTGCGCTCTATGGTGAGCCTTGGAGGACTCCCCAGGGATTCTGAGCCATAGAGCCCCCGAAGAGCCAATGAAAATGGCCATCCGAGATGGAGAGCCTCCCAGCCAGTGCCAGGAGACCGACCCCGGCTCTGCAGCGCCCCCAGGGCTGGGAACGGGCCTGTGGCCAGCCGCGGTAACCACCTGCCTCCCCTCCCCTGCAGACATCACCACGGAGCTGGCCTACCTGACCAAGGAGCTGAAGGCGGACCCCTGCGTGGCCCACGCGCTGGCCCTGCGCGCCGCCTGGGCCCTGTCCAACTACCACCGCTTCTTCAGGCTCTACCGCCAGGCGCCCTGCATGTCCGGCTACCTCATCGACAAGTTCGCCGAGCGGGAGAGGAAGGCGGCGCTCAAAGCCATGATCAAAACGTATGTCGAGTCGGGAGGGCGCCCCGCCCGCTAACCTCACCCCCTGCCTGGCGGCTGGGCTGAGGTGCCCCCTCGCGGGCTGAGCGCTGTTCTCCGGAGGCGCCCGGCGCCTCCCGTCTGAATCAGGGTAGAGATGTGGGTGCATCCAGTCACATCTCTCCCTCTCCTCCGGTCGACTGTACGGCTGTGTCCGATTGGCCAGCTAGGGCAGGGGTTAGGAAGGATCCCACACTGGAAGGGGGGGTGACCTAGCTTGGGGCGGGGGGAGAGTCGTCCATGATCTTAACCAGCCCCTCTGGTTCTGAGCAGTCGTCTCCATCCGGCAGGTAAGTAGAACGTAGCCAGTGTGCAGCGGGGCCCCCGTCATGGACTCGTCTCTGCTCCGTGCCCAGATGCTGGGCAGCCCGTGGCTCGAAGCGGGGAGCTGGGACCGGCCTGGCTTGGGCTGAGGCAGGGGATTGCAGCCCGGCAGCGAATCTTCCGGGCGTGGGGGGCTTAATTTGTGGGAGATCAACGTTGGCACCTTGCCAAAGGGTGGCAGATCCAGGTGTCCTAGTGCCGTAGCCCCCAGACAGGACTGGTGGTGGGGGATCCCGTTGTGCTGGATGGTGGCACTTTTCTGGAGGTTGGATCTCCTGAAACCTTCTCCGTTCTGATTCGGAAAGTGCTGGTGGTTCCCTCCCGGAGCGGGGGAGGCTTGGCTGCCCTCCCTCTCCCGCTGAGATTTGGTGGAGGAGGCAAACTTCCTGCTGGGGGGAACAAGGGCAAAGCTAGAGAGGGCGGCCAGAGGACGGGGGAGGGTTGGGAGTGGCCTAAGGGGCCACCGTAGGAGAGTCTCCTGGCCACACAGGGAGATTCTAGCAGTCAGATTGTGCCCCACGGCAGCTGCCTTCCCTGCTCTCAAAACCAGGGACCTCGTGCTGCTCCTTAAGGGCATGGGGTGCAGCCCCCCCGAAGAGCATGGGTGTGAGGGGAAGGAGGTATCTGTTACCACCGCCTGACCTGGGATGCGGATGGTTGCTGTGGGGGGTGCAGGCAACCGAACTGATGGCGGTGATGGGTGGGAGCTGGCGGTTTGGGGCAGGCAGTTACCCGTTTGGCTGTGATCTCTGTTGTGGGGTGCTGCCTGGGGGTCAGGTCTGGGAAGGGCAGGGGGATCAGAGCTGCGGGGCTGGGGGGGAGTGTGTGTGCAGGCTGTTGGGGGGGTCAGGTCCAGGGGGAAATGGTGGTGTGGGGTCCGATCTAATGGGGCAGGGTGTTGTGGGGGGCAGATCTGAGGTGGAGGGGTGTACTGGCTACATCCCTGGGGCCGAGATCCATTAGGTAGTGGTTCAGTCTGTGCTTGTCCTAACCTGTCTCCTGCTGCGTTTTTCCCGCCCTGTTCCTTGGTGGGTTTTGTTTATTTGTTTCGTTTTGTTTCCTTCAGTTTCCGCCCGGTGCTCCCCGTCTCCTACGTTCAGTCCGAGCTGGCCTTCGAGGCTGCGGACGAGTGCCAGCTCTTCCTAGCCGCTCTGTCCCTGGTGTACACGGGCACGGACACAACCAAGATTGACTGCAGGCAGAGCTTAGCAGTCCTGGCCAACTTCTAACCTCTCCCTCCCCGCTCCAAAGCCCCCCCTCTAATCGCAACCAAAGGGTAATGGCGGCTCGGTGTGTGCCACAGGCCAGCCACCGGGGCATGCCCCCTGCCCCCACGCACCTCCGCAGACGGACGAGGGTAAGCCGGACAGCCACTGGACAGCTCCTCCATGGCGTGCCGGGCAGGGGCCCACGCGATGTTAATGCTTTTCTTTAGTCTCTTGCCAGCGGATCGTTCTCTGGGGGCACTGGGGCGGGGAGGGTCAGCCTGTCCTCCGCAGCAAAATGCCCTCACCTGGCGTGACCGCCGTCCCGTTCGGCCATGCCAGCCCGCGCCACCTCAGTCTTCGGCTCGGCGCACGCACGCCCGTGTTCGAAGAACCGCCCCTACCCCCAGCGATCTGTGTAAATGGTGTCGGGAGGAATCAACTACGAAACGCAACACTCTTTCCTTTCCTCCCGCCCGGAGCAATCGGAAGTGAACTCCGGAAGGAAAGAAAAACCAGAGCTTAGCTGGGCGGCCTAGTTAACCACCCTAGCAACAGGAAGCAAACGTCTAGAGCCGGCCGGTCTGGAAATCTTTTCCAGAACTGTAGTCTAGATCCTCCTGGCACTTTAAAAGCCAAGGAAACCATTTCCTCTGTGCAATGCTGATCTCTTCTTGGAAATGTGATTTCTCTGTGTATATTTCTTCAGGATATGCTGTACAGAACCCCACCCTTCTATGATGTAAATAAGGAGATAAATCCATTGTATTTTGTAAAGTATCTTTTCTACTTTTTTTAATTATAAACTTTAGCAGGTCGGGATGTGATTTTTTTTTTTTTGTTGACTTTTTTGGGGGTTTTTTTTTTAAAGAGTAGATCTTTTGTTGGATGTTGTGTATATTTCCACCCTGATCTGAAACTAACGTTGTCTCAGTTTTCTCTTTCTCTCTTACCCCTGCTTCTGAGCTTTTTGGCCAGCCTTGGAAAGAAAGCCAAAAAAAAAAAGGCACATCTGGGCAAAAAGAGAAAAGAAAGAAAGAGAGCAGCGGCGGAGAATGAAAGCCGAAAGATCGAGCCCCGATCGGCTTACCCCCCCCCGCCTCAGAGACTGTTGCTTAGAGACATTGTAAGAATCGGGGGAACCTGATGCAGAGAGTGAAATTGGGCTGACGCAGACCACGCAGCTGCTGGAATTGGTCGTCCCTCCGCTAATGGATTCAACCAGTCGCCAGCAAATCTTCCAATCACGTCTAAGTTTCACCGTTTCTATGTCCTGGAGTTTTTTTTGTCTATGCTCAGTTTAGTTGATTTTTATTTATTATTCCCCCCCCACCTCCCCATTTCCTCAGTTTCTTTACAGGTAACTTGGTAATGATTCATTCCCTCCCCTTTCCCCGCCCTCAGTTTACTTGTCTTTTTATTTTTATTTTTTTTTCCTTTCTTCCTATAGTCTCTTTAGCATCTCATTCTCCTCCCGAGCCTTCCCCCTTCCTTTCTTTTGTTGGACATATGTAACTTTCTGATGTGCACTCGACAGCGTGAATAGCTGGATTTCAAATGCTCTTTTTTTTTCTTTCCAGAAACTTTTCCTTTTTTGAGGAGTATTTTTCTCGAAATTGAAAATTAATAAAAACGACAAACGTAGGAAGAAACGCCTCGGGCCCCTGTCTATTTTTGAGGCTGGATCAGGGGATCCCATGTGGGACTTGGGATGCTGGCGTTTGCCCTAGTGCTTGTGACCTTGGGCAAATCGCTCGGGGCCACGTTTCCAAAGGGATTTAGATGCTGAAAGATGCAGCCAGATGCCTAATGTGGCATAAAGTGGACCTAGGTGCCGCACTTGCTTAACCCTCTGTCATGGAGTGTGGGGGACTCAGGGCCCTGCACCCCCCACTTCTTACGATTCACCGTGACTCTCAGCCAGCCAGTAAAACAGAAGGTTTATTAGATGACAGGAACACAGTCCCAGACAGAGCTTGTAGGTACAGAGAACAGGACCCCTCAGTCAGGTCCATCTTGGGGGGTGGGAAACCCAGACCCCATCTGGGCCTCCGTCTGTTTCCCCAGCCAGCCCCTGCGCTGGCCTTTGTCTCTTTCCCAGGCCAGGAGCCACCTGATCTTTGTTCTCCAACACCTTCAGTTGGCACCTTGCAGGGGAGGGGCCCAGGCCATCAGATGCCAGCAGACAGGGCGTCGACCCTTCTGTGTGCAGACACCATCACACCTGCCCTCTAGGGCTCTGCAAAAATCACACCCCCTTATCCCACCACCTAGATACTTAAGAACTGCATAGGGGAAACTGAGGCACCCACCCAGTATTCAGAGAAAACATTAAGAACTTTCCCACTTCATGTCACCCTCCTTGTGCTAAGCTGGTTTGGTGAATCCTGCTGGACTCTCTGCATCTTTAGGCGTCTATATATGTCTCACTTCATCAGTCATCGCTCAGTCTGAACTGTAGAAGACAAGTCCCTACCCCTGCTGTGAATTAATTCCTGCTCGAGCGAGAACAGATAATCTAGTCCTCCGTTAGCACCAGCAAAGCCTGCAGATCGGCCTGTTCATATCCGTAGCAAGAGGCTGGAAGGGGTTAGATGTTTTTATTGGGACCCGGCGGTAGATGCCAATTTCGCCGTCTGCACCTGCCGACAAAAGACCGTTTCTGGCTACAGCAATTTGAATGGAGAGAAGTAAAGCGAGAGCTGCGTCAGAAGGGTTATTTCCTTGGGACGGGTTGTTACCGGCTTGGGTATAAAGGAGCTGTGAAAATTGCCGTTGATTGTAGAGAAAATTATTTAAAAGAAACATCCGTACTGTGGGGCATAATGATCCAAGAGCATCAAATTCTACCCAACGCCCTGTGCAAACCCAGAGGGGTGAGGGGAACAGACCCAGCCTGGCCTCTTTGCCTTCCACGTGTGGGAGCAGAGCTTCCTTGGCGCTAACCTGGCACACTGAATTCCTGGGCCCTTTGCCGTGGGGAGAGGCAACTGGCAAAGGGCTAACAGACCGGAGACAGGAGGAGGTCCCAGAGCCCAACCCAGGCAGGCTGTACAAAGGGCCGGGTCCTGCATCTCAGCTAGGAACGCCCTCCCCGGCGGCGGCTGGTGGGTGAATGCCTTGGGGTTCAGGAAAGCTGGAAGATGCCAGGGAAGGGGATTATATGCATGGGGGCAAGGTGAATGGGGGAGCAGAGCTTGGGGCTAGAACCCAGGAGTCCTGGCTCCCAGATGCCTCTGCTCTAACCACTCAACCTTGCTCCTCTCCCAGAGCTGTGGCTAGAACCCAGGAGTCCTGGCTCCCTACATCCCTGCTCTAACCACTCAACCCCGCTCCCTTGCCAGAGCTGTGGATAGAACCCAGGAGTCCTGACTCCCAGCCCTGCCCGCCCCATAACTACCAGGCCCCATCCCCCTCCCTGCTGTGGGGATAGAACCCAGGAGTCCTAGCTCCCAGCCCCCCCGCTCTAATCTGGATTAGGGGACCTGAGAGAAGGGGCAATAGAGCCCCAGATGCTGAGCTGGGATTTGGGGACTGGCGTGGGGCCCCCTCAGTACAGATCCAGCTCCACGAGGGTGCTGTAAAACCCATCGGTCCGTCTGCCCCCGCCCACCTGGCACAGACACAGCGATTCCACCGCCTGGGTCCCCAGCTCCTCCCCGGGGGGCTCCAGGGGCAGGTTCAGCCTCGGCTCCCCGCCCGCCGGGATCTTGGCCACGGTGAGATGGAAACAATCGTGGGCCGGGAGCGGGACGACCGTCAGCCCCTTGCAGGCAAAGCCCTGCTCCAGGGCGTGGGCCAGCCCCGCCAGCTCCGGGCCGGGCGCGGGGGCGGCGTACAGCACCCGGCCCCGGAAGGTGCCCAGGCCCCGGAAGCGCAGGAGCGGGCGGGGGGCAGGAGGCGCCGGTGCTCGGCCTGCAGCTCCCGCAGGGCGGTGACGGCCGCCTGCATCTCGCCAGCGCCGTCCAGCCGGAGGAGGCAGAGGGTGAGGTGGAGGGTGGCCAGTGGGGTGCAGAACTCGGCCACGGTGGGGTCGGCCTGGCTCAGGGCCTCCTGGAGCCGGGCCACCGAACCCCGCAGTTCCGGGCTGGTGATGCGCACGGCCACAAAATGGGTGGGGCGGGGAGGCCGGGGGGCTGCTGGGGGGCAGCTCTGAGCTCCTGGCTCAGCCACATCCTCCTCTTCGTTCTCCGGAGCTACAGCCTCCTCCGGCACCCCGGCTCCGCCGTCCCCCATTCCCACGGCCTCTTGGCGCCCGGCCTCTTCCTTCATCACCTCCAGGATGGTCCGGCCGCCCCCGGTGGAGCCGAAGACGTCGTCCAGCCGGCTGGCTTTGTCCCACACCACGCGGCCGCGATATTTGAAGTACTGGATCCTGTGTTGGGGTATGGCCAGCACCTCCGGCCCGACCGACGCCAGGTCCTCCCAGCAGAAGGCCGTGAAGGCATCTTCCCGCACGCCGGAGAAGCGGTCCAGGTGGCCCACGGTGAACTCGCCGGGCGGCAGCTGGCGGTCCCAGAGGATGCGGGAGACGACGTCCCCTGCTGTCTTCATGGGGGGCTTCTTGCTGGGGCGCTCAAGGGGCTTCTTGCTGGGGGGCTCGGGGGGCGGCTGGGGGGCGGCGGGCAGGGCGCCGGGGTGGGGGTTCCGGCAGCGGGCGCCGAAACGGCAACTGCCCGCCAAGAAGAAGCGGCAGGGGTGGTTGAGCGTGGGGGCTGGCTCTGTCACCCCCGGCCCATCAGAGCCCAGGTCCGGGGCTCCCCCTGCGGGGTCGGCTGGGGGGGCAGAAAAATCTCCCCCAGCGGACGGGCCCCGTCCCTCCATTGCGTCACCAGAGTCCAGTCTGCAAGGCAAAGAGAGAGTTAGCACAGGGGATGGGGCCTTTCCCTCTAGGGGGCACCGGCTCCCACCCGGCCCCAGGGCAGGGAGTGGCTGGCTCAGGGGGCAGGGAATGGGGCCTGACCCCGCTGGGAGCAGGCTGCCTGGGCCGACCCTCCTGCAATGCTCAGGAATTACCTGCCCCTGCCGGGCTGGGTGACCCTGAGCCGGGCCCGGAGGAGGATTTCCTGCTTTGGGCTCCAGCCACTCCCAACCCGGCCACTTGCCCAGGACTATAAAGGGAGCTGCAAGGGCTGCTGGGAAAGGCGGTGAATTTTTATGGCTCTAAACCCCAGGCCTCCAGCAGGGGGCAAAGGGTGTCCATGGTGAATGAGTAATTTCCTGCTTAGCCCGGCCCAGAGCCAGCATAGAACCCAGGAGTCCTGGCTCCCAGCCCCCCTCTTACCACTAGCCCCCATTCCCCTCCCAGAGTCGGGGAGCGAACCCTGGAGTCCTGGCTCCCAGCTCCCCCTGCTCTAACCACCAGACCTCACTCCCCTGCCAGAGCCAGCATAGAACCCAGGAGTCCTGGCTCCCAGCCCTCGCTCCCGCTCTTCCCACTAGACCCCACTCCTCTCCCCGAGCCTGTCCTGGCTCCCAGGTCCAGAGCCGAGAGCCCTGCTTGTCACAGTCCCGGCTCCGTTACCAGCCCCACCCTTGCCAACTTCCTTGACGACACTAATGTTCCCCTACATAGCGACTGTCTACGGGACGTGGCGTCAGGAAAGATACTGAGATAAGGCGTAACCGTCCTCTCACCCAGTGTCTGAACTGTAACCCCACCCAGCGGGCAGAAAAGAACCCAGGAGTCCGGGTGCCCAACCCCCCCCCATCCCCCGCTGCTCTAACCACCAGACCCCACTCCCCTCCCAGAACCTGGGAAAGAACCCAGGAGTCCTGGCGCCCAGCTGCTCCCTGCTCTAACCACCAGACCTCACTCCCCTCCCAGAGCCAGGGAGAGAACCCAGGAGTCCTGGTTCCCCCCTCCCCCAGAGAAAATGCCCTGTGCCTCATTCCCCACCTCCGAACCTGCCAGTCCCCTCCCTGGGGCTGGCTGGGAGCCCCCCGGGAGGGGAAAGCCCCCCAGCCAGCCATGCTGACGTTGCATCAGTTTCCCAGCTGCTCCATATCCCTGGCAGGGCCGGCCAGGCCTCCTGGACAATGTCACCCCGGCCCCGGCCCCCGATCTGTTTACAGTGGAAATCGCCCGCTGCCAAGAAATTCACAGAGCGTGACTGGGAGCCCGGGGCCCCACTGGGGGATGCGATCTCAGCCAGATGGGCCAGCTGGGGGGGAAGTGGGGGGCTGGACAAGGTTGTGGGGCTAGGCAGGGTGTCTCAGGAGGAAAAGACAGCCAGACAGACCCAAGCCAAGCGAGCTGGACAGACGGCTCCTGTCATCCTGGCTCCGGGGAGGGTGCAGCACTGGGGATCCCGACTATCTAGAAAAGTAGGGGGTTAGCCAGTGAAAGAGCTGGGGATAGAACCCAGTAGTCCTGGCTCCCAGGTCCCCCTGCTCCACCCCACCAGCCCCCCCAGACCTGGGAATAGAACCCAGGAGTCCTGGCTCCCAGGTCCCCCTGCTCTACCCCCCCAGCTCCCGCCCCAGAGCTGGGGATAGAAACCAGGAGTCCTGGCTCCCAGGTCCCCCTGCTCTAACCCACCAGCCCCCCAGAGCTGGGGATAGAACCCAGGAGTCCTGGCTCCCAGGTCCCCCTGCTCTAACCCACCAGCCCCGCAGAGCTGGGGATAGAACCCAGGAGTCCTGGCTCCCAGGTCCCCCTGCTCTAACCCACCAGCCCTGCAGAGCTGGGGATAGAACCCAGGAGTCCTGGCTCCCAGGTCCCCCTGCTCTAACCCACCACGCCCCGCAGAGCTGGGGATAGAACCCAGGAGTCCTGGCTCCCAGGTCCCCCTGCTCTAACCCACCAGCCCTGCAGGCCCGGGGATAGAACCCAGGAC